GCCGAGGTGGATGGATCACCTGAGGTCAGGAGTTAAAGACCAGCTTGGAGGGCCGGGCGCGGTGGCTCAAGCCTGTAATCCCAGCACTTTGGGAGGCCGAGGTGGGTGGATCACGAGGTCAAGAGATCAAGACCATCCTGGTCAACATGGTGAAACCCCGTCTCTACTAAAAATACAAAAAATTAGCTGGGCATGGTGGTGCGTGCCTGTAATCCCAGCTACTCAGGAGACTGAGGCAGGAGAATTGCCTGAACCCAGGAGGCGGAGGTTGCGGTGAGCCGAGATCGCGCCATTGCACTCCAGCCTGGGTAACATGAGTGAAACTCCGTCTCAAAAAAAAAAGAAAAAAAAAAAAAAATGTCTCTGACACAGGCTACAATGTGGATGCACCTTGAGGACATCACGCTCAGTGAAATAACTGGTCACAACAGGACAAATCCTGTGTGTGTGATCCCATTCCTAGGAGATCCCGAGAGTCCTCAGATTCACAGAGACAGAACGTGGGATGGGGGGTACCAGGGGCTGGGGAGGGGACAAGGAGTGAGTATTTCACGGGGCAGTGTTTCAGTAAAATGGAAAATTTTATGTCACGTATGTTTTACCACAAGAAAAAAAGGACCAAAACTATATGGAGTTTTTTTTTTTTTTTTTTTTTTGAGACAGACTTTCACTCTTAACTGCTCAGGCTAGAGTATAATGGCGTGATCTCAGCTCACCACAACCTCCGCCTCCCGGGTTCAAGCCATTCTCCTGCCTCAGCCTCCCAATTAGCTGGGATTACAGACATGTGCCACCATGCCCGGCTAATTTTTGTATTCTTTTTTTTTTTTTTGAGACGGAGTTTCGCTCGTTACCCAGGCTGGAGTGCAATGGCGCGATCTCGGCTCACCGCAACCTCTGCCTCCTGGGTTCAGGCAATTCTCCTGCCTCAGCCTCCTGAGTAGCTGGGATTACAGGCACGCGCCACCATGCCCAGCTAATTTTTTGTAGTTTTAGTAGAGACGGGGTTTCACCGTGTTGACCAGGATGGTCTGGATCTCTTGACCTCGTGATCCACCCGCCTCGGCCTCCCAAAGTGCTGGGATTACAGGCTTGAGCCACCGCGCCCGGCCTCTAATTTTTGTATTCTTAGTAGAGACAGGGTTTCACCATGTTAGCCAAGATGGTCTTGATCTCTTGACCTTGTGATCCGCCCACCTCGGCCTCCCAAAGTGCTGGGATTACAGGCATGAGGCACCGCACCCGGCCTCTTTCTTAGTGCCTTTGCCCTGGGGTGGAAGAGAGAAATGAATGGGGAAGAGGGAGAAGCAGGCTCTTCTAGTTTTTTTTTTTTTTCAGGATGGTCTTGATCTCTTGACCTCATGATCAGCCTGCCTCAGCCTCCCAAAGTGCTGGGATTACAGGTATGAGCCACCACACCCAGCCTAGTTCATTTTTTTTTTAAAGATGTTGAAGCAAATCTGACAAAATACAATCGTGTTCATTTCAGTGGCAGGTACATGGCTGTTTGTTATTTTATCCCTTGCAGGTGTCTGTATTATTTTTTCCCTGAGACGCAGTCTCGCTCTGTAGCCCAGGCTGCAGTGCAGTGGTGCGATCTCGGCTCATTGCAACCTCCACCTCCTAGGTTCAAGCAGTTCTCCTGCCTCAGCCTCTCAAGTAGCTAGGATGCCCAGCTAATTTTTGTGTTTTTAGTAGAGATAGGGTTTCACCATGTTGGCCAGGCTGGTCTTGAACTCCTGACCTTGTGATCCGCCTACCTCCGCCTCCCAAACTGCTAAGATTACAGGCATGAGCCACCGCGCCCAACTTTAATTTAGTTTATTTATTTTTATTTTTTTGAGAGGGAGTCTTGCTCTGTAGCCAAGGCTGGAGTGCAGTGGCATGATCTTGGCTCACTGCAGCCTCTGCCTCCTAGGTTCCCGCTGAAGCCATTCTCCCACATCAGCCTTGGCTTCCCAAGTAGCTGAGACTACAGGCGTGCGCCACCACGCCCAGCTAATTTTTATATTTTTACTAAAAATGGGTTTTCACCACATTGGTCAGGCCAGTCTTGAACTCCTGACCTTGTGATCTGCCCACCTTGGTCTCCCAAAATGTTGGGATTACAGGTGAGAGCCACTGCACCTGGCCCCAGTTTTTATTTTTTTGTTTTTTTTGGAGACAGAGTCTTGCTCCGTTACCCACCTGGAGTGCAGTGGCACGATCTCGGCTCACTGCAACCTCTGCCACCCAGGGTTCAAGCGATTCCCCTGCCTCAGCCTCTTGAGTAGCTGGGACTACAGGCGTGCGACACCACGCCCAGCTAATTTTTGCATTTTTGTAGAGATGGGGTTTCACCATGTTGGCCAGGATGGTCTGGATCTCCTGACTCCCTAATCCACCCGCCTTGGCCTCCCAGCCTGTAGTTTTAAAAATATACAACTTGGGCTGGTGGCTCACGCCTGTAATCCCAGCACTTTGGGAGGCTGAGGCATTTGGATCATGAGGTCAGGAGATTGAGACCATTCTCGGTAAGACAGTGAAATCCCCATCTCTACTAAAAATACAAAAAATTGGCCGGGCGTGGTGGCTCATGCCTGTCATCCCAGCACTTTGGGAGGCCGAAGCAGGTGGATCACAAGGTCTAGAGATCGAGACCATCCTGGCCAACATGGTAAAACCTCGTCTCTACTAAATACAAAAATTAGCTGGGTGTGGTGGCATGCGCCTATAGTCCCAGCTACTCAGGAGGCTGAGGCAGGAGAATTGCTTGAACCCGGGAGAACTGCTTGAACCCGGCTGCTGTGAGCTGAGGTCACACCACTATACTGCAGCCTGGGCGACAGAGGGAGACTCCGTTTTTTTTTTTTTTTTAAAAAAAGCCGGGGCCGGGCGCGGTGGCTCAAGCCTGTAATCCCAGCACTTTGGGAGGCCGAGGCGGGTGGATCACGAGGTCAAGAGATCGAGACCATCGTGGTCAACATGGTGAAGCCCCGTCTCTACTAAAAATACAAAAAATTAGCTGGGCATGGTGGTGCGTGCCTGTAATCCCAGCTACTCAGGAGGCTGAGGCAGGAGAACTGCCTGAACCCAGGAGGCGGAGGTTGCGGTGAGCCGAGATCGCGCCATTGCACTCCAGCCTGGGTAAGATGATTGAAACTCTGTCTCAAAAAAAAAAAAAAAAGCCGGGGGCGGTGGCTCATGCATGTAATCCCAGCACTTTGGGAGGCTGAGGTGGGCGGATCACCTGAGGTCAGGAGTTCGAGACCAGCCTGGCCGATACGGTGAAACTCCATCTTAAAAACAAAAAAACAAACAAACAAAAAAACCCAACAAAAATTAGCGGGGCGTGGTTGCACGCCTGTAGTCCCAGTTACTTAGGAGGCTGAGGCAGGAGAATCACTTGAACCCAGGAGGTGGAGGTTGCTTGCAGTGAGCTGAGATGACGCCATTGCACTCCAGCCTGGCGATAGTGAGACTCTGTCTCAAAAATAGTAATAATAATAAATTAAAAATAAATAAATAAATGGGGTTTTAGCCCCAGCTACTCCGGGAGATTAAGGAGGGAGCCCAGGAGTTCAAGGCTGCAGTGAGCTGTGACTGCATCATGGCACTCCAGCTTTGGCAACAGAGTGAGACCCTGTCTCAAAGGAAAAAATATATAGTTTTTTGTTTTGTACTATTTGCCTGTAATCTTGTTCCTTTTTTTTTTTTTTTGAGATGGACTCTCCCTCTGTCACCCAGGCTGGAGTGCAGAGTGCAGTGGCTCGATCTCCGCCGTCTGCAACTTCTACTTCCTGGGTTCGAGAGTCTCCTGCCTTGGTTTCCCATGTAGCTGGGATTACAGTGCCCACCACCAGCCCCCCCTGGCTAATTTTTTTTGTGTATTTTAAGTAGAGACAGGGTTTCACTATATGTTGGCCAGGGTGGTCTCGAACTCCTGACCTCAAGTGATCCACCCACTTCAGCCTCCCAAAGTGCTGAAGACGACAGGCATGAGCCACCTAACCCAGCCTCGTTCCTTGTATTCATTTAATTTTGTGAGGATGAATAAATCAAATGATCAGGGCGGTGAGATTAAAAAGAAAGGCAGTAGGCAGCACATACCCAGTGGGTCATCTGTCTCCTACCATCAGCCTAGAGGGTTTCTCCACCTCCTACTGCTGACGTTGGAGGACGGGTATCATTCTTTTTGGGGCGCCGTCCTGTGCACTGCAGTCTGCTGAGTCTCCAACCACTCCATGCCAGCAGCACCCCCCCCAAGTTGTGACAATGAAAACCGCCTTTTCAGACATAGCCACGTTATCCCCTGGGGGGCAAAGTCACCCAGAAGAACCACTGATGTATGCAATTAACAGATGCAATTAAAACAGTATTTGGTTATTAATAGTACTAGCACTTGGGGGGGGTCGATAACATTCTTTCACAGTCATTGAATTCAGTTCATTGTTTTGATTTGATTCCAGTCTGGCCCGAACTGGGTGACCTTGGACAAGTGACTCAGCCTCTCGGACCCTCGGGATCCTCTTCTGTGAAATGGGGACACGGGAAGGAGCCTCGCGCGGGATGCCCACGTGCTGCTTGCCCTCGGTCCGCCCGGAAGGGGTGCGGGCGGGGACATTCCTGCTCCCCCGACCCCACCCCCGTCCCCAGCGTCTCCAGCACTTCCGAAGGCAGTTAAAGAGGAAGCGGCAGCCGCGCCTGCGCCCGCAGTGCCTAGCCGGGAGCTCCGGACGCGCGCGCGCACGCGCGCACGCACGCACGCACGCACGCACGCACGCACGTGTCCCGGCCCGCGCGCTTCCCCCTCGCAGGGGCGGGGCCAGGGCAGAGACTCCATTTCCCAGAATGCCCCACGGCCAAGCCCGGAGCCTCTGAGGTGGAAACGGGACGCTCAGTCCCCTCTACTGCGGCGGCGCAAAACCCGCTGCAGGGACGCACGCACGGACGGAGCACCCCTGGCCCCGCCCCCGGAGGCCCCGTGCGAGAGCGCGCCCGGGCGTGCGCAGGGGCGGCGGCGCGGCGGCGCGGGGACGCGCGGTGACCGTTGGCGCCGAGGGGAGGAGGCAGCCGCCGCCGCCGCCGCCGCCGTTGCGCAGATCCGGGCCGCGGCTGTGGGGAGGGCGACGGAGCTGGTGACCTTCCGGAGGCGGGAGCGAGCGAGGAGGCCCGGGAGCGCCGAGCGCCGCCGCCGCCGCCATGAACAACTCGGGCGCCGACGAGATCGGGTGAGGACGGGCGGCGCGGGCCTGCGTCTCCGCCCCGGGCCCGGCCCGCAGCCCCCAGCCGCCCGGCCTCCGACGCCGCCCCCCCGGGGCCGCCCCGTCAAGGTCACGCCGGCCGGGGGCGGACTCGGGACCCGGACTCGCCGCGGCTTCGCGCCGGGGGCTCTGGACGGGAGCCCGGGGTCTGGGGGTCCGGGCGCCCCCGCCGCCGCCTCCCGGCTTTTCGTCCTAGGGGACCGTGAATGGGGGCCTGAGGGGTCGGGGGGCCCCGAACGGCCACCTGGGGAAGTCCTGGGGCGCCCCTGCCGCCGCTTACCGACTGCGCGTTCTGGGGGACCTCGAATGGGAGCTTGAGGGATTCGGGGGGCCCCCGCCGCTGCATCCCGGCTTCCTGACTGTGGTGGCCCGGAACGGGGACCTGGGGGGGTCTGGGGCGCCCCCGCCGCCGCCTGTAGACTCTCTGGTTTGGGGGACCCCGAATAGGAACGTGAGGGAGCCTGCGGGGACTCCAGGGCGTCCTCGCTGCCGCTTCCCCGCTTCCGGGCCCGGGGCACCCCGAACCGTGGCCTGGGGGGGCTGGCAGGGGGGCGCCCCCAGTGCGCGCCCAAACTTGGCGGGCGGCGCACGTGGCGAGCCGAGCCGAGGGTTCCGGTTCTGGCGCCGCCCAGCTTCTCCCACTCGGGGCTCCGGGCTCCCCGCTCCCATCCCAGCCCCCAGAGTGGCGAGGACGGGAGGGGTTCGCAGACCCAGGGCCCGCGGGGCTCGGCTCAACCCCGGCTTGCTGTGTTTACGTTGTCTCGGCGCCTCCCCGCCGGGGGTGGGCTCGAGCTGCCGACGGGAGCGCGTCCCCTCCGATCGCAGCCTGGCCGGACCCCACGGGGCCGGGAACCCTCCTTCCGCGGGGTCGCGGGGCTCGGCTCTGCTCTTTGGCAGCGCTAACGTTCTCCCAGAGCTGTATTCTTCCGGCAGAACAGTCTGGGTTGGGTTTCCTCGTGGTCTGGTGTAAATTTCTCAGTGCCCTCAGCTTTAAGCAGCGCCCTGAGTTCTCAGTGCCGGGATTGGCCCGAGCTGGAGCGGTTGCTGCGAGAGGGTGGTCTGGGCAGGCCCCTCCCGCACATGCCACAGGTCATGCTTGTGGACGGGGAAGGCCTTTTTGGGCGTTCTCCCCCTCCCCAGTCAAAACAAAAGAGCACCTTCCTTTGAAGAACTGGGATGTAAGCACTGAGCCCCTGCTTCACCCATGCTGTGAGTCCTCTCCAGGCACTTTGACTTGGCAGGGGCCGCGTGCCTGGGGGGAGACATGACTTGGATGGGGCCCTAGCGGAATTGGCCAGAGCAGGGGCCCCGCTGGCCACGGGGAATGGAGCCCTGGACTTTGGGATGATGGGGGGAGGAGGCTCCCAGGTGGGGTTGCCTCCGTCAGTTGAAGCCACAGGTGAGCGTGGGCCCGCTCCATCCAAGCCGAGGCTGCAAGGAAGCTGGAGAGAGGTGAGGGCTACTCCCCTTCCCTCCCTGCACAGACATCCTTAGAAACTGGGGGAGCTCGGGTTCCAGCCACAGCACAGACAGGCTTGTGGGATGCCATGGGCTGCGTGGAGGGGACTGGAGTACATGGACCCTACTCTCTTCCTCAGCTGCCAACTCTGTCCACATCACCTGCCTTTAAAGCTGGAAGCCCTGGTTGCCCAGGAGTGTCCACTGCTTTCTGAGTCAGACTCGGTGGCCAAGAAGTGTTGATACAGCTACATTTTGCGTGGGAAACGGGCTTCCATTCTGTGTGGGAGTCTATGGTCTACTCTGAGCTCCTTGCAGTGTGGACTTGTGTGGGTGAAACCCTTGTGCCCCTGTGAAACGCCCTCCTGGCAGGTCCCCTGCAGTTTCCTGGGAGGCCACAGAGTCAGCCCTGTGGGGGATGCCATGCGGGAGGGTGCTGAGCTTGGATGGAAGCAGGTCCTCTCTGTGACGGATGGCGGCTTTCAGGATGCCATGGGTCTGTGATTTCCCTCTGCGGGGCCTCGGCACCTCCTCAGGCTGCCCCTCTTCCTCACCCACATCCCTCACTGCTCACTGCCGTGGAGGAGGCAGGAGGCAGGAGATCCCTCCGGCTCCCAGCAAGCCCTGCGTCTGTCGCCACAATCCCTGCTCGGCCGGCTAGGCCTGGAGCGCACCTGGGTGCTGGGTCAACGCCTCAGGACAGTTGGAGCCCTGAGCTCGCTGTTCTGGGACACTTGTGGCCACCCTCGGGGAAAGCTCTGTTTTTGAGTTTGAGTCCAAGGAGTCTTTCCGAGTTTTGAGGGTACTGATGCTGGCTTAGAAGTCCGTGTAAAGCCTAATGGGGACGAAAGTCAGCTGAGGCCTGTGGGTGATAAAAAGTGCCTTCTGCACCCTGACTTCTAGTCAGCCTGGGAGGGGGCTGCATGCAGGAGGAAGCACACAGGAGAGGTGGCGTGTGGGGAGCCCCTGTCAACCTTGCTGGGTTTGGCATGCGGACCCCATGTGCTGGACGTGACGGGCAATGTTCTCATTTGGGATTGGAGCCTGTCCTGGTCCTCTTGTGAAGGGTGGGGGACGGGCAGTTACCTGTCTGGAGGGTTAGAGGGACAGTACCAGCTGGTGGCCTGTAGTGCTCAGGGCACAGGTGATCAGTAAGGCCAGAGTCTCCACTCTGCCCTCCCTGGCCTTGTGAAGTCCTCTTCAAGTCCCTGGGTTGAGCACCTTGAATTGGATTCTGGGAAGCTGACACAGTGTGGCCGGGGTCACCGAGTCCTGTAGAGTAGCTGCTGGGTGCCAGGCACCTGTGTGATACGCCAGGTGTCAGGAATAGGACCCAATGCCTGGCTTACCGGGAAGGGACAGAGGCTCGAAGGGGTCACCTCGAGCGCTCAGGCCATTATATTCTGCTGGCCTCTAATGCGGAAGGCGTTGTGGAACTGGAGAGGGAGTTTTGTGGAAGATTTTATCCGGTAGGTAAACCAGGGAATGGTGAGACAGGGACACCTGCACATGTTTAGGGAAGCCACAGAGGGAGGGAGGGACTCAGCGGAGAGAGGTGAAAGCAGCCTCTGGGCAGCTTCGGGGGAACGCAGGACTGTGGTGGGGCCAAATGGCTTAGAGCCAGAAAGGCCCATGGCGGGTCCCTCGGTTCATTGGGTGGCTGTGGAAGCAGAGACTGAGTGGGGCTCCTGGCTGGGCCTGGAGAGGCCGTGACCACCTGTGCGTGCCCAGTGAGCACAGGCTCCTGGGAAGGGGGATTGCTGGTCAGTTCAGGGGCCGTCATCTGGGGGAGGCTGTTGCAATGTAGGGAGTGACGGGAAACCTCATGGGGCTGCGCCAGGCCTTTCTGGGGCTCTCGTGGTACATTTGGGTTATTTTGAGGCAGATGTCCTGGGCTCTGTCAGCACTCTGGCCTGGATCACTCTGGGCAGGGAATCCTTCTGGGCACTGCAGGGCGCTGGGCAGCATCTTTGTCCTCCACTTGCTCTGTGCCGGGAACACCCCCACTCATGACAACCACAGATGCCCCCAGACATCAGCCTGTGTCCTGTGGGGTGGGGGAGACTCGTCCGGGTGAGAGCTGCTTTCTGGGAGCATCTGTGCTCTTGGCCTGGTTCCCACCGCGTTGGGGGTGGCAGCTCCTTGTGGTTTACGACTTGTCCTGTGCTGGCTCCTTTGGTTCCTGTGAATGGGCCGTGAGGTCAGGGTGCTCCTGACTGGCTGCTTCTTGGCTCTGGTGGTCTGGAGCAGGCAGGTGTCTAGAAAGGCAGCAGCACCGCCCTGGCGCGTGCCCTTCACTCAGCAGCTCCCCAGTAGCCCGGAGCCAGCAGCAGCGCGCAGCATGCCCAACTGGTGCTTGTTTCCTTGACTAACGCTCGGCCTTTCCAGAGAGACAGAGGCTCAGAGGAGTTAAGGGATTTGCCCAGCGTTCCCCCAGCCAGTGGAAGAGCCTGAGCTGGGGAGCCACACTCCTCCACTGCCCGCCCCACACAGAGAGCACTCCTGGTCAGGCTGCTGTCTGCGTGGTGCGGTCTGTACATCTGAGGTGCTGTCTTCTGTGGACTGAGGCCTTTTCCCATCCAGGCCTGGTCCCCCTGACACTGCGCCATGATGTCAGAGTCCCTGAGAGCTGTAACAGAACCTTAGGCAGAGGCCACTCATTTGACAGACGCTTATGGGCTGAGGTTCCAGCTTGGCTCCAGGCATTGGGAAGGAGGACACTGGTTGCCTGGGAGGGTGGGGCTGGCAGAGGATGAGGGCGACCACAGTTAGCACCCAGGATGTGGGCATTCAGTGCCCCCTTCAGCACACAGCAGTGCGTTACAGTTCACGGACTTCTGATGTGTTCTGTGGACCCCATACCCTGCCAGTGTTGGGGTGGTGGAGGGTATCTGCCCTGCTGGTGAAGGGAACTTGGCTGTGGAGGGCGGGGCTGTGCTCACTGGCCTGAGGCAGGCAGTGGGTGAAGTGGTCCCCGTTGGCCTTAGGGGCAGGAAAGTCCATTGACTCCCCACACAGCAGCCGCCACTGGGCCTGGACTTCCGCCTCTTGCGATTGTGCCCAGAGCTGAGTGTGACCGGCAGAGCTGGAAGCCAGGTGGGGCCTGTGGGGAGGCAGGCTCCTCCTGGCTTGGTCCCTCAGCCCAGCAGGAAGGGAAGGGTCCTCTGCCGACTGCCCTCGGTGAGGCTGCTGGCCCTGCATGGCCAGGCTGGCAGCCACTTTTTGAAGCCCTCTCTGCTACTACCAGGAGGCAAGGGCTCTCTATGGTCAGCCTAGGCCAGAGGAAGCCCCTGCAGCTGAACCTTCTGCTTCAATACCTCCCCGCACAGCTGCCCTAAGGGTACTCAGCGGGCGAGGCTGCCACCCCAATCAGCTTTTGCTTTAACAGGCGGAAGAGAGTGGCTGCTCAGGCCACTATGGGTTGAGCCCCCACAGGGTGTGGAGCTACGGGGCCTGGGCACCAGGCATGCAGATCCTGGGAGGAGGTGTTGTGACCTTTGGTAGTCAGACTGCACACCAGACTCCAGGTTGCCAGGGAAGAAGTGGGGCTCACCCACTGACGAGAACAGGCCCTTTGGGTTTGTGGGGCTGACTTCCAGTGTCAGAGAGGCCGTCACCTGGGTGATGACTCTCCCACCAGTGGGCTCCTCAGAGGCAGAGCGTGGGGAGGTTACATTTGTAGCTGACCCCTTAATCTGCATAGGTCAGTGTTTACTGCCCAGTTAATGTCCTCGGTCCACACGGTGCCAGCCCAGGTGCAGGCTGAGCCAGCCTGGAGCTGAGGACAAGCAGACTGCCAGCCCTGGAGCCAGCCCCCGAGAGTCAGCAGCACCTCCTGTGCTGGCTGTGACCCGTGCGGCTCCCTGGACTCTGGCGTTTACTTGTGTGAGAGTTGAGAGTTGGTTCTGCTGCCTGGGCAGTTGATGGGCAGCGTCTGGGAGGTGTCTGCCCAGGGCCCCGCATGTTTCTGGGGTGCTGGCTTCTCATCACCTGGTGAGGTTGGCAGCCAAGAGCTTTCTTATTTTATTCACTAAAAAATCCTGAGCCTCAGAAGTAGGGACTTTGTGCCAGGGCCCTGGAGGCAGTCCCTGCTGCTGAGGAGGTGACCCTGCCTCCTGGGACTTTCTGGAGTCTTCTGTCTGTAGATCATGGAGAAGGTGCCAGTCTTAGCTGGCAGCCTCCGAGCGGTAGTAAGAGAAACACGAACACGAGACGCTTTAGCGCAGCACCAGCCTGGAGCCGCCTTCCCTTCGAAGCAGACATGCTGTGTAAAACAAAAGCTATCTGCCGCAGTCTCAGATTTCGTGAGTAACAAGACTCATTTCAAAAGAAACTTACATTCTGTCACATTCTCAGTAATGAAAGATTTTTATGCCATAATCATATATGTAATTTCTGACTTACAGGAAAATTACAAAAGTAGTAACAAACATTCCCACATTCTCTTGACCCTACAAGACTCACCACTGGCTGACATTTTGCCGTCCGGGACACAGTACCTCCTGCCCCACCTCCAGTGAACTCTGTGTGGTTTTTTTTTTTCAGACGGAGTCTCACTCTTCACTCTGTCAGCCAGGCTAGAGTGCAGTGGCGCGATCTTGGCCCATTGCAGCCTCTGCCTCCTGGGTTCAAGTGATTCTTTTGCCTCAGCCTCCTGAGTAGCTGGGATTACAGGCCCCTGCTCACTGTTTCTGCCTAATTTTTGTATTTTTAGTAGAGATGGGATTTTGCTATGTTGGCCAGGCTGGTCTTGAACTTCTGACCTCAGGTATCCACCCGCCTTGGCCTCCCAAAGTGCTGGGATTCAGGTGTGAACCACCGCGCCTGGCCACACTGTGTGCTTCTCTTGAAATACTTGAGAGTAGCTGGAGGCCAAGGAGCGGCGCCCCTTTATGTGGACACTGAGCTGTCTATTGTTTCCGAAGAACAGCGACATTCTCTTACATGAATGCAGCTCAGTGATCAGAATTGATGTGCCAAAGCAGCCGGGCACAGTGGCTCACGCCTGTAATCCCAGCACTTTGGGAGGCCGAGGTGGGCGGATCACAAGGTCAAGAGATTGAGACCACCCTGGCCAACATTGTGAAATCTCGTCTCTGCTGAAAATACAAAAATTAGGTGGGCGTGGTGGTACACACCTATGAATTCAGCTACTTGGGAGGCTCAGGCAGGAGAATCTCTTGAACCTGGAAGGCAGAGGTTGCTGGGATTATACCACTGTGCTCCAGCCTGGGCGACAGAGCGCAATTCTCTCAAAAAAAAAAAAAATTGAAAAAAATATTTATCTTTTTTTATTTTTAAAAATTTTGTTTAAGAGACAAGGTCTTTGTCACCCCAGCTGGAGTGCAGTGACATGATCATGGCTCACTGCAGCCTCGACCTAGGCTAAAACGACCCTCCTGCCCCAGCCTCCCAAGTAGCTGGGACTACAGGCACCACCACCATGTCTCCTTATCTTGTCCAGGCTGGTCTTGAACTCCTGGCCTCCCAGAATGCTGCGAGCACAGGCGTGATCTGCTGCAACCAGCTGAGAAAGACAGGGTTGATACCAAGTTACTAACCCACCCACCCTGTTGTGAGTTTCTTAGCTACGTATTTCTAGCCCTTCCCCCTTAATACCCAATTTTTGAAATTTAAATGAGGACCGAAACTGGACTGGTCTGACGAGTTCCTTCCACCAGGGAGGCGAGGTGGGCGGGCAGGGATTCGGTTTCTTGGAGGATACCTGCCTATTACCTGGCTGTTTAGTGGGTGCAGTGCTAACTAGAGGCTATTTCTTCAAGTGACGCACGCATGCGTGCGTGTGTGTGAATGCTTGAACTTTTATTCCAAAGGCTTATGTAAACGGACATGTTTCTGGCAGTTCCTGCTAGTCTCGAGGGCCCTTCCTTCAGGGGGTGGGGGCTGCTGCTGGCCCTCCTGCTGGGTGCCTGGCCCTGTTGGCAGGGATGTGGGAGGGGCCGGCACTGACTCAGCACGGGCGCAGCCTATGGGGAGTGAGGCACTCGGAGCCTCGCTCCTCCCACGGTCGCTAGTCCTGACCTCAGTGCTCCCTGGCCTGATTGCGAAGGGTGCGTGGGAGACGCAGGATTTTAAGTTAATGAGGCGTAAGCCTGCTGCTGTTGCGGGATCAGCATGTTTTTTTCTGAAATTGGTCTTTTCAGATCTCGTCTCTAGGCATCAGGAAACACAGGGCCACTGGCACAGCCCGCCTTAAATTCGCCTTTCTTAGGGAAAAAGAAGGAGCAGGATCAAGCCCTTGGCAGTTGGCTGTGGCAGACCCTTCACCAGGGGCTGACTCTGGGAGCTGGAGTTCACAGGCCCCAGGTGGTCGTTGATGAGTGGTGCCAGATGTGCCAGCCACCTTGCATGGCTCTTTCCTGGCGAGCTGGCAGGAGCTGGAGGAGCAGGGCTGTGTTCCAGCCTGTCGCTCCTGACCACTGGTGGGGTGGTGATGTGCTCAACCTGCCAGGGACCTTTCTCCAAAAGCATCAGCAGGTGTGGCGTGGTTGGCCATCAGGGATGTGTGGACCCTTGTGTGCCTGCTGTTTTCAGTGATGCTGGCAGTGTTCTTGGGTCTCAGGTGGGTTTCAAGGGTGCTCTGCTCTCTGGAGACCAAGGGTGTTGATGGTGCTGGCACTGAGTCACAGCCGAAATTCAGCCTAGGGACTTCATTTCTGAATACATGTCCCCTTTTCCAGGGAAAGTAGGCAGGACTAGAGAGCCACCGATAGAACCGTCTCTTCCCTGCTTCCTGGGTTTGGGGGAAGCTTGAATGACATCTAAGGCCCTGTGCCTGGGTAAGCCTTGTGGCCCATGTGTCTCAGACATACCCAGTGGGTGCCACGGCTAAAGCATGGTGGCACAGCCCCCATTGGGAGCTGGAACAGCCAAGGCCCCTGGGTGCACTCGGAGCTCCAGAGAGGTGAAAAGATGGGCCCTTGGGCGTTGCTGCGAGTGGATGGCACACGCCTTGGGAGAGTTCCAGCTCATTTGCCCAGAAGAGACAGCCCCAGGATGGGGGCGAGGGCTTGTGAGGGTGGGCAGGGGGTGCCAGTGCTAAGCCTGCAGCTCCAGGCAGGGCCTTCCCTGCCATCTGTGGGCCTCGTTCTCCAGTGAGCGCAGGCTCATCTGGAGGCTTTTGCGTCTCCCCACCCCGCCTGGGGCTGTAATTCAGAGGCCTTGTGGCTTTGGTGTTTAGTTTATTGTGCACATTTTAAATCTAGACTTCTAAATTCTTTTTCCTGGTTATGAAATAATCGCAAAGGCTGTAGGAAGGCGAGCCTGTGTCCCGCTTGTCAGCAGCACGGTTCTGTGCAGTCACCACTGGTCTGTCAAAGGAACTCTTCACCCGTTGCGCGTGAGGTCTGCGTGTGGCTCTGTGGCCAGTCCCTTCCCCATGGTGCTGGCAAGGCTTGGGATCATCTTGCGTGTCTGCAGACAGCATGGGAGAGGCTGACTTGCCATTGCTGTGAGCTCCTCGCGGTCACGTGTGCATAAACTGCTTCCGTGTTTTGAATTGAGACCTCAGTTTGGCTCAGATGGGGGCATTTCTAAGGTGGGAGCTTGTCTTGATGGTGAATATTTTCTCATTGAATTGCAGGAAGCTCTTCGTGGGCGGTCTGGACTGGAGCACGACCCAAGGTAGGTGGGGAAGGGGTGTCAGATGGGCGCTGCAGACGGGCTGTAGGACCTTGGCCTTCAGCTGTGTCTGCAGCCTCTTGCTGCTGTCTTGGGTGTTTCAAAGTGCTGTTGATACTGTTTTGATTTCTGGGCAGGGAACATTGGAGTTGGCTGGGGCAGAGAGTAAGTGTGTGTTACTTTGAGACTGTTAATTTGGCCCTGGTATTTCCCATCCGAAGTTACAGGCAAGACTTCAGTCTGCAGGTTCCTAGCTCAGGGCTGAGGTGGGTGGTGGAGGCAGACAGCCGCGGCTAGAAGTGCAGAGGGCGGGCCTGGCAAGTCCCGAGTTGAGAGTAGAGGAGGAGAAGGTGTACAGCACGGTCGGCGCTCCGTGCCCACTGTCAGCATCCACAGGGGTTGTGTTTGCCTTCCCGGACTCCCACCAAGGCAGGCTGTAACCGCTGGCCGCTGCTGTGCTCACTGGCAGCCCCTCTGATTTACATGAGGGCCTCAAGTGTGTGTTGGGCAGAATCCCCCAGTGCTTCCTGGACACCGCCCTGTAGCTCCCAGTTCAGCACTGCTGGGTGCACGGCTGGTGGACTGGAAGAGCGCGTGTGCCTGCAGCCACTGCCTGGCGCGTGCCTAATGCTCTGGTCCTGTGTGTTTGTGTTTTGTTCCCAATTTCTGAGCAGAGACTCTGCGCAGCTACTTTTCCCAATATGGAGAAGTCGTAGACTGTGTTATCATGAAAGATAAAACCACCAACCAGTCTCGAGGGTTTGGGTTTGTCAAATTTAAAGACCCAAACTGTGTGGGGACAGTGCTGGCCAGCAGACCGCACACACTAGACGGCCGAAACGTAAGTGTCCTTCCGGGAGCTCTCTCCCGCTCTGCCTCCCCTTGTCGTGGCTTTGCTTCATTCTGTCCTGGACTCCGACGGATGTTTGTATTAGAGCATGTTTGAAAGTGGGTTGATGTGGAGGCCGAAGCCGTGGTGCCGAGGCTGGGTAATGCAGTCGGACGCAGGGCGGATGGAGCCGGCGGGTGGGGCAGGGCTGCTGCACTGTGGCTGCTCTTGTGCTGACACCTTCTTTCCTAGAGAAACAGCCTCTTACCACTGGCTGATTTGAAACTTCCTACAGATCGACCCCAAGCCATGCACACCCCGAGGGATGCAGCCAGAGAGAACGCGGCCGAAGGAAGGATGGGTAAGGGGCGGGGCCGGGTGGCCTCCTCGTGCGTTCTTGACTCAGGATGGAGATGCGTGCCTTCGATCTGGTGTTTTCGTTCACTAAGATAGAGAGCGACAGTGTTTTCTAGGTTGACACTCGAGCAGTTGAGCATCACCCAGGCTTGTCAGTGCTGTGCTTTATCCTACAGCCAAGAAAATTCTTACTAGTCTATCTCAAGAAAAAAAAATGACAGCTCACGCCATTTCTTGTCAGGAGCCCTTCGTCTTACCTCTGCACCCTGTGTGCCCACTGTGCTGGGCCAGGCCGTGTCGGCTCATGCCGGCCACCTTGCCGCTCCACTTGAGATCCCCTGACATGGCAACTTGGGTTCTCTGACCTGCAGCCCTGGTGTTTGCCTGGTTGACAGGGCACCGTCCTGGCATGGGGTTTCCCTGGTCTGCTTACCTTCCTCCAGCCGTGCGGTTCTCACACTGGTGCCAGGAGTCTGGTGGGGCGGTGCAGATGGAAAAGCTCCCACCCCCACAGAGCGTGCTGGACAGTGCAGACCTGAAGGCCTGCTGGGGCACCAAGTGCCAGCCTTGCCGCAGTGTGGGCAGCAGGCCGGGGCTGCAGAACCTGCATTTCCAGCAGAATCCGCTCCCGCAGGCTTCAGAACCCTTGGAACAGTTTTTTTTTTTTTTTAAACTTTATTAGGAAACTTTTTAATTACCCCAAAAAATAGAAAAATAGCACAAAGAATACCTGAATACACCATGTAGATTTATACATCATTAATATTTTGCCGGATGTATCTATATGTGTTTCTCTCCATCTCCGTCCACATGTACCACTCCTAAGGACTGGAGGGTGCGTCCCCTAAAATTCCGTCCTCCCCACACGCACCCTCGATCAGCAGGCTGGAAAACGGCTGCAGGGAATCCTGTGTCGTCTGTCCAGGCCACGTTCCCGCTCCAAAATTGTCTCACGAGTTCTCTCATAGCTGTTTTCTCCAGACTGGAATCCAGTCACAGTTCATATTCTGCCTGGTTATTAATTCATTAACGTCTCTAGTTTTTATTAAGAGATAACGGGCACATAGTAAACTGCACAACTTGATGGATTCCGACCCACGCATCCACTCATGAAACCATCTTTACAGTCATGGCAGTGAGCGCGCATCCCCAAAGGTTTAGTCTCTTAATTCAAAGCAGTTGGGACAACTTCAAATATGGTAGCCTGGGACAGGAGGAAAAAAAAGGACGCTGGGTGGGGTGGGGGCAGGAGGAGAGCAGCCACAGCTGAGGGGCGAGCAACGAGGCCCGGGCAGAGACGTCCAGGAGCAGGCGCGCTGGGCAGTGGGAGGCGGCAGCAGGGGCTGTGCGGTTCGGGCCATGTGTCACGTACCTCTGGAGCTGCTAGAGGTTTCCGTGGTCATCTTTGTCACCTGCTGAAGAAGTACAGCCTGAAATCCAGCTTCATCTCTGCTCGCTTCCATCGTTGGCGCTCCCCTTCCCCAGCACTCTAAGGTCCCTGCCTGTACACCTGGCGCCTTTCCACTTTGTAGCTGTTGTAATGCAGAATAACTGAAGGCGAGGCACACACGGTGCTGTTTAGTTGAAATTCAGCCCTGCAAAAATGCTAAATCCCTGTCTCCTTGGGTCTCTATTGAAAAATGCAAAAGTGTCTCGGAAGAGCCCAGTGTTTCTGGTTGCTCTTCAGACCTAGCAGGCTCGTGGAGCGCTCTTGCCTGGCTTTCAGCCAACTCTTAAAACCAGTGCAGATTGGGCTTTGCAGCCTGCGCAACTCATGTAGGGCTTGGAGGGTCCGGCGTGAACTAACCGTTCTTTCCTTCTTCAAACAGCAGAAAGGACCCAGGAGCGATAACAGTAAATCAAATAAGATATTTGTCGGTGGAATTCCTCACAATTGTGGTGAGACAGAGCTCAGGGAATACTTCAAGAAGTTCGGAGTGGTGAGTTTCTCCTACCTGGTGGTGCGGTTGGGCAGAGCCGCTTCTGCGCGTCCTCCGCCTTCTCGGGGCTGAAATGGCAGAGCCGCAGGTGCACAGGCCTTTCAGGCTGCGAGCTCGCTCTCTCGTATTTCGCCGATGCCTGCACCCCCCACCGAAAAGATGGAAAACCCAGCCTTGGCCTTCACGGCCATTTAATGTCCCAGTAGGGTAGTTCTGCAGGCAACTAGCCTGACAGCCTTCAGGGTGTCCGCCTGATTCCATTGTGAAAACACCATGGGGTACAGTGTCAGAGAATGACGGTTACACAGAAATGGGGTTCAGCATAGTCTGGACGAGCTGACTTCCAGCGGGCAAGTGGGAAAATACCCAATCTCAGCTGAGCCTGGTGCCAGAGGGAGCTGGGACAGCCGGGAGGGGGCCAGCAGGGACCTGACGCAGGTGTGTGCACCCACCCCGAGGTCCTGCTGGGTCGCATCCCCTGCCCCGCAGGCCATATTCCTAGCCCCTGCAGCAGGACAGTCCCGTGGGCCTGGGTCCAGCATATGTTTATAAGGTGGTAACTGAGTGCCTAGGCCAGGAATGAGGGGCCCTGAGTGGGGCCAGGGAGCACAGGGTCCGCAGAGGAGCTGTGTGTGGCTGCCCTGCCGCTTTGAGTGAGGGCTGAGCGTGCCCTTCGCTTCCCTCGTTTGGGTAGGAAGGGCTTCTGTGGGGTCTTCTGGCTCCCACGACCCCTGCCAGGATGTGTGGCCAGCATCGTTGGCCCTTCGTGTCCCTCAGCATACACGGGAGTGGGGCTGTGGGCGGCTCGGAGACGGATGCCCATGCGCCTGCCCTGGAGCTGCTTCTGTGCGCCTTCATCTGGCCCCAGAGTGTGGGGGTTCCTGCCTTTCCCAGACAGCACTCCAGGGAGCAGCCCTTGCCTGTGCACCTTCCCCGCTGAAGGCGGGTGCGCCCCATGCGGATTCCTCGGGAAAGCCCCCTTGGCGCTGATGCTGGGCTCACGCCACTCTCTCCTTCCAGGTCACGGAGGTAGTCATGATCTATGATGCCGAGAAGCAGAGGCCCCGAGGTAAGGGCAGATCTAGTTCGTCCTTGGCCTTCTCTCCCTGCTCCTCCCTCAGATGGCAAACTATCTCACCCGCCAGGCACACATAGGTGGTGGCTGTAGCAAACAGCCTCAGGACAGGACGATTTGGAGACAAATGACTAAAACGTGGGTTCCTGATGTGCACCCCATTCAGCCTGTCTGTGCTTCCCGAGGTCAGACGTCACACATTGTTTTTTGGTTTGTTCTTTTGGCGTTTTTATGACTCGACATCGGTGTCAGCCTGGTTTCTGTTTTTCACCGTGTCCCGGAAGAGTGTGCTGCTTCTGCATCCGACCTTCCTTCGCCCCCTCGTCGAGTCCTCCCAGTGTGGCCGGTCTCATTTTGTGTGGTCGGCTGGGCCGGCCGGCTCGGGTGGAGTGTGGACTTGCCGTCATCCATCCCATGCTTTTTTCTTTTTTTTTTTTGTCCCCCCTCTGAAGTCAGTGGGGCAGGTGGGAGGAGGGGTGAGGAGTCACCTCAGGGCCTCCCTCATCATTTCCCTCAGCTCCCCGCACGCCTGTCCGCATTGGTTTGTGGAGCTGGGGCGATGGGCGCCCAGTTTCTGTGCCCCTTTTCCGTGGCTGCTGCTGTCTGTCCCGCCCGCATGGTTTTGGTTCATCAGCCGCTTTTGGCCAGCCACACGCGCAGATCCGCAGCCTGGGTCTGCCCGAGGCGTCCGTGCCGCCCTGCACCACCCGCCAGGTCAGTCGGGGCAGCCCCGAGCGCCACGCGGCGCCACAGCATGGCCGCCATGCTGGAGCATAGTTTGCCATTTGAACCTCCCTCCCCACGGTTAGGGCGTGTTCCTCCTCCATGTTGGTTACGCTGTTAAGTCTTAGTCGTAACTTAATTTAGACATACATGCTTAGTGACGTACTTAAGTGTCTCATAGTAAAGTACAGTAATGTTAAGTAAGTTGTTTTTTCTTTTTCTCTCTGTGAATTGTTTGTGATTAACGATATCTCTTTAGATTTCTCTTCTCCAGGTGCTAAATTATATCACACAGGTACAGGCCAGTCCCGCAGTCAGAGGAGGGAGCGGCTTTGCTCCAGTGGGGTGTAAACGAAGTTTCAGGTGTTTCTGTCCCGCTTCCTCAGTGGTGATGTCGCCTCTTGACAGCCGCATTCCTAGACAGCGCTCAGGGCGCCTCCCCCAGGACCCAGCGCCTCTTGCACTGTGCCCGGACCAGGCGAACCCTGTGGTTTCAGACACTCCTGCAGTTTGAGAAAATGTCTACTTCTAAATATGTTGTTTCATCACCGATGCCGTGTTCCAATACTGCCTCTGATCTCGGGAAACTTGAGTGTGCGGAATCCGAGGGTGGCTTCTAGATCCTCCCGCCTCCCCTCCGGTTGCCCAGAGCTGGCGCCCCTTCTCCTTGCATCCTGTCCCGTGTGGACGGGATGTGGCTGGCGAGTGTCGCTGAGTCCACGCTGGTGTACAGACCACTTCGGGGCCAGCATGTGGCCACATGTCCTTAGTTGTCGGGCTTTGAAAGTGTCCCTTGGGTGTCAGGCGAGCAGAGGGCAGGAGAGACGCCATGGCGCGTCTTGGCGGGTCCTCCCAGATAGCGCGTTCCCTTCCTTGGCCTTTCTTCCTCTTCTGAGATGGGTCTGTGTTCCCCTTCCCGCCACCTCCCTCTTCCTCTGCATTGACAGAGGTTGTGGCCACGTCCTTGTCGGGGACCCCGCATGTGTCTCGGGCACACAGTGCCTGCGTGGGTCCCTGCACGGCCCTCCCACGTCTGCCCTCGGCCCGCCCGCTCCAGCCGCTGCCTCATTCGCCTCTGGCCCTGCCTTGTCCTCGGGTCTTCTTCCTGCCTCCTCGCTGTGTGCCTTGCCCTCCTGGTCCCTCTTCCTCCTCTCGGGTCAGGTCGCAGACAGCACGTGCAGTCATGCTGAGGTGCGTGCGTGCGTGCGCTCAGGATGGCGGGAGGCTCCTCAGCCGCGGGCCACCTTTGTCCTCTCACAGTCTGAGCTGCCCTTCCGCCCCGTTTCCATCTTTTCTCGCCCAGGTTTGCATGTCATGTTTCTGCCTGGTCCCAGCTACAGCAGCCCCGGCCCCTGTTTCTTGAGCTTGGGTGGCCCCATGGTGGGCCACTCCTTCCAGGGGCCCTTGCCTGCTCCCACCCCCACGGCCTTTCTCTGCCGTGTTCACGCCCTTGTCGCGCTGTGCCCTGCTGTGTGGTGCTTTGTCACACACCCCGTGCCTCTGGCGGGCGGCCCATCTTCAGCCCCATCTCCACTCTTCCCTCGTCCGTCTTTGTTCTGTGAGGTCTTGGGCAGCTGTCTGCCGCGCACTTCCTTCCGTCCAGCACACGGGCCACCTGGGGAGGTGCTAGCGTGGCCGGGGCCCCTCGGGAGGACGGTGTGCTCCATGGTGTCGCACTCCACCCAGCCGGGGAAGCCTGGGGAGCCCAGCGCACTCCTGCGTAGAGGACGAGACCCACTCCGTTAGCCGGGGGCCGCGCTCACCCCAGACCAACTAAACTTCGTTTATACTGCCACTCTCTTGTGTTTGGAAAATGCTAAATTTTTTTTGCCTTTAAAATTTTCTGTTTTGATCCCATGGTGCATCTCGCTCTTGCTGCTGACAGCAGAGTCTGACCTGCTGGAACCCGTTGTGGCCTGTATCTTTGTGCGCTGTTAATCTACCTGTATATATATGCATATATGCCTATGATACGACTCTCCTAGGACTCCTTGGGCTTACCCAACGGTGTTGGGTAAGCCTAGCGAGGCATCAGCTGTGATAGATACTGTACTGTTAACGCTTTAGAACGATACATGGCTGCTGTCAGCACTAGCTGCAAAGCAAATTGCAAGCCGAGGGGGAGAACCCTGGGTTTCAGAGAAGCAGACACACATCCACGGTGCATACCCCTGACGGAGACGTAGACTTCCACGCGGGCTCCCGGCCTGCAGGCTTCCCTGGCCGTCTCTCCACAGGCGAGAGCCAGAATACTGCAGTGCGGACCTCTGACCCTCCCCTGGGGGTGGTTTGTCTGCCAGTAGCACCGGAGGCCCTCACCGTTGTACTGCCTCGGCTGCTGCATTCTAGGATGTGCTCCTTGTTCCAAATGTGTTCCTGACACAGAGCCCCAGCCCTGGGTGTCTGGGCTGGAGACCTGACTCAGGCCTCAGTCAGCAGAGCCGTCACCGGGAGTGCGGACATCACCGTCTGTCCACTCTGTGTCCTGCCAAGTGGCAGCTCCTGGGGAGGGAGGCAGCGCCCCACACACAGCTGAGCTGAAACCCGGGGTCGATCCCTCGGCCCGTCCCTAATACTGTTCATCATCCTGTTTTGTGTCACAACACCCTGCTACCTTGATTCACTCTTCGTCGTTGGCTAGGTTTTGGATTTATTACTTTCGAGGACGAACAATCAGTGGACCAGGCTGTCAACATGCATTTTCACGACATCATGGGCAAAAAAGTGTGTAGTTGTAGTTTTATTTTACCTTAAGACCAAACCAAGTCTTAGGCAACTTAGGGGTTTCACTGGAAAGGAACATTCCTTCACAGAAAAGGGTCGGGCGAGTTCGCCCCGTTAGCCTTCGCTGCGTGAGGTGTGCGGTGGATCTGGTTCTGTAGACAGCAGGAGGGCCCCATCTTTTCCAAGCACCCTTCCCGTGGGTGGGTGTCTCCCAGCTTTGCTCCCGGAGCCCCTCCCTCTGGGTGGCCTGGGACTGGGGTGGGGGGGCCCTTGGTGAGGCCCTGGCGGTGTTGGGACTGGCTCCAGTGAAACCGCAGCGTTGCCTCAGGCTTGGTTTCCATGACCACTCCTTCAGATGTCTGCAAATCCCCATTGTCTGACACTGACCTGTAATGTGATCAGCAAGGGACCTTGGAGAGCCAAGGTTCCGCTTAAAACCGAAAGAAAAATGAAAACATCATGAAGGATTGGTTGTTTTAATTGGGTCACTTACTGTGGAACTCCGGCACCAGCCACATGCTCTCGGTAGTACTCAGCCACCATGCAGTCAAGTGACCTCTGGTTGTGTCATCTTCATACTGTGTTACCCCCGGAGGTGAGAGGGACAGGAGGCCACCCCCCCCCCCAGGCCAGCCCTTGCTAGGTGTGTGTCAGAAAGAGCTTCTTCCTAAGTCCTTGTTTTCCCTGGACCCTTGGAGGTCCTTGAGAAGTGGACTCTGAAATAAATAACTGGTAGAAATTCTACAGTGTGGAATTTCTTGCAGTTAGTGAAAGCTTAGGGGTCCAAGTTTTCGCAGGATTCCCGTCTTGGTTCTTTTAAACCAAGGAGCTCTGCTGGCCGTGCCAGGCTGCCTCACACACCGAGGAGGATTCGAACCCGCCTCCGTGGTGTGGCAGCGTCAGCTGTTAAGGGAAGATGCTCAGCCTTTTGGACAAAGCCATGCTTATTTTTTCAGCTAAAATGTCCCAGAGGGAGCCAGCCTCATGCTCATTTTCCCCTGCCCCCGCCCTCTACCCCAGCCCTGACCATTTAACGACAGGAGCACGTGTAGTTATTTTTGTATACAGGTGGCTTTGATTTGGTTGCAGTCTTCATTCCATTCGAACCCAACTAAAACAGGAGACACCGTCCTTGTTCTGACACGCGCTGCAGCGTTTGGTGTCACGTTAGCGTGCAGGCTGCACGAACCCGCAGTTCCAGCACAGGTTCAAAGGAGTGCGATCACAGTTTTAAGGTGCTCCGCCATTGACAGTTAGGGGCTAGCATGGTCTTGATACGTGGGACAGAGAGGGTTCTGTGCCGTGCACACACCTGATCTCGTCCCTGGGCAGCCCGAGGGTCTCTCTAGCCATGACTGTCTGCATGAGCCTCTGAGCTCGGCGGCCTCAGTGTGGGTTTCGCCTCCCAAGGAAGACAGTCACTGGAGTCCAGCTTGCCTGGCACCAACCTTCACTGGTCGGCCGGACACGGCACTTGGCATCGCTGCCAGCCCCTCGTGGGGATTTTCCATAGAGGTTTGGTCTCGGATGCTAGTTCACCTCCATGCCAGGCGACTGCATTGCCGTGTTAAGACAGGAAAGGGTAAAAGAATCTTTTTCCCACGTACAAGGACTTCTCTGCTTTGGAAGCAGGGACCACAGTCCTCTAAGGAGAGTGTGTGAAGACTTGCTCATTTGAGTTCTTTGAGACTGGTCCCTTGGTCCTGCTGTCCTGCCTTGAGCTAACGGGGATTCTGTTGCCATCATAGGGCGTCCCTGGGGCATTGGGCAGGCAGGTGGGGGCTTTGTGCCTCTGTGGCCACCGCTGTCTGTTCTCTAATGGACAGAACAGAACGCAAGACGCATAGTGCTCAGACTGAGACCCCAAGGTTGACTCCAGGTGGATTCATTGCCTCTTTATTCTCATTAAAATTTACCATAAAAATAAGACAAATTCAGCAATCTCAAATGCTGAGGCAGCCCTGGACCTGGGGACTCTTGTCAGCCCGCCCATACTTGAAAGCAGGCATTAAAGAACGGTGGGCCCCTGTGCCTAGAATAAGTAGGTCAGGCGTGCTCCATCCGTTGTCCCAGGCCCTGCACCCGCCTCCTGAGAAGGCTGTGGCTCCTGAGCGTCTAGAGAGGAAGGGCCCCGGGCTGTGGAGCGAACACAGTATGAAGATTGCTTACTGATCCAAATGTCCATTTTATTGCATGTTTGTTTACTTTTTTTTGTTAGATGTAATGTAAGATTCTCTTATCACATCCATTCCCTCTGACATTATTTTTGAGTTAATTGAGATTCTTTAAGCGTTAGCCTGGGGAAGGTAAGTCTTTATCTTCCATTAGACATTTTAAATTAAAAAATCTAAGTAAAACACCAACCGTGTTTCTCAGGTATGAGTTAAAAACACAGGTGGGTGGGCTCCGAGCGGTCCAGAGGGCGATGAGGATGCCGATGGCTGGGAAGATCCTGGTCCCGTTTTGTCCCCGTGTTTTCAAGAGGAAGGAGGATGCTGACGTTTTACTTGAGTGAAAGACCCTTCGTCATGCACGAAACTCCCCTGAGGGCTGTTGGCTCTGTCCCTGCTGCCCTGCAGCGGGTGGGCTCTGCGTGTCTTACAGTTGTATCTATTGTACCTGAGAAACATTTTTTAAACAAAAAAATTCAACAAAAAAAATTTTTTTAAGAAAAAAATGCTACTGGCCTAAATAAGGTTTATAGTTAAGTACTTAGTCTTAAGTCGTAAGTTGCTAAGTGTAGTCATAAGTTACCCAAGGGTGTGTCTGAAGGGAAGGGGGTGCTGGGACCCGCAGCCCCGTCCTAAACCAGAGCTCGGTTTGTTTAGGTGGAAGTTAAACGGGCTGAGCCTCGGGACAGCAAGAGCCAGCCGCCGGGACAGCCAGGTGCCAGCCAGTGGGGGAGCCGCGTTGTTCCCAACGCTGCCAATGGCTGGGCAGGCCAGCCCCCGCCCACGTGGCAGCAAGGATATGGCCCGCAAGGTAAGGCTGAGGCAGAGGTGCTCTCGGAAACCCCCACATCTCAGACGCGCCCCGACGTACCCTGCTCGGCTGTTGCTGCGGCCCCCCCACTTCTGCTGCACCTGCCAGCGCGGCACAGCGGCCTTGGGTCCCGACCAGGAGCCAGCAGAGAGCCAGCTCCCAGGCAGCACTGCAGCCTCCTCAGCAGTGGGTAGCCATGGCTTAGGTGCCTGTCCTTGGCCTGGGCCTTGCTGTCACCGGGAAGAGCTGCAGTGAGCGTCTGCACCTTGCTGCTGTGTGCCACGGCGGGTCTGAGCAGGAAAGCCTGAGTTCTGGCGTTGCCGAGTTGAGCTCAGAATCGGGGTGCTGCCCCCAGGGGGCCGTTGAGGACTGGGCAGGCGTTGGATCTTTGCCACCTGCCGTCCCCTCTGCAGTGCCCTCTGTGGCTAGGCCTGTGTGTGGCCATCCTGCCCTACTCAAGAGCTTCCAGTAGCCACAGAAACCTTGTGCTTGGCCGCAGCCTGACCCGAGTTCCAGGTCAGGGTTCCAGATGTCACTTGTCCAGGGCCCGAGACTGTGGCTTCCCTGTGCCTCGTCTCAAACCTTTCTCTTTGGAGTCTCCCCTGTTGGAAGCTGGGAGGTCCTGTGGGGACTGTCCCTGCCTTGAGGCTTAGAAGTCTCAGATTTCTCTGGGGTCCTCAGGTGGAGCTTGGAGGTCACCCGTGCCCCAGTCAGCAGACACAGTGCCTGCCGTCTGGCAGGGGATAGAGGAGAGTAGCTTTAAGGCCTGTTTGCCAGTGGGTGGGGAGTGCTTCTCTGCTCAGGGCTTGGGGGGGCTCTACCCTCAGGACAAGCAGGCTCTGAGCACAGAAGGCCCCGGGGTGGGCCCCAGCCCCGGATGCCCGTGCTCTGTGGCTCCTCGTCTGCGTCGGGCACCTGGGTGGACACGGCTCCAACCTCCTCTTCTGTTCTCTCATCCAGGAATGTGGGTGCCGGCAGGACAGGCGATTGGTAAGTCCTTGCTGATAGAGCAAAGGTGGGGCGGGAGCCACATGGCAGGCTGACTCAGCAGGTGCCCCAGGGCAGCGGGCATAGCCTGCTTCCTGTGTCCTGAGTGCTGGAGAGGAGGAGAGGGTGAGGGGCCTGCTGGGGACCCCGGCAGGCCCAGGTCTGGCTGTGGCCAGGCCGTGTCGTCCAGCGCACTCTGCCCATCACCCCTGCACTGTGTTTCAGGTGGCTACGGACCACCCCCTGCGGGAAGAGGAGCCCCCCCGCCGCCCCCACCATTCACCTCCTACATCGTGTCCACCCCTCCTGGAGGCTTCCCCCCTCCCCAGGGCTTCCCTCAGGGCTATGGTGCCCCGCCACAGTTCAGTAAGTCTAGGGGGCCTTGTGGGAGGGCCTCCTGCCTGCTCTGGAGACGACACCCAGCCAGGTGGTGGGTGGGAGTGATGGGGGTTCCTGTGTTAACACGTCTGGCTTCAGCCTCAGGGAAAGCTACAGGTGGGGTGTGGCTCCTCAGCAGGCCACCCGCCACCAGGCCCTTCACCGGCAAATGGGCTACGTTGCCTGTGGCTTTGCTGGCCAGGCTGAAGGGCAGCCCAGGCTCCTGCAGGCCAGAGAGCTCCCAGCAGGAACGTCTGCACCCGGCCAGTTCTCACAAGCCCCTCAGGAGACGGAGCCCGGACTTCGTCTCTCAGCCTTGTACTTCAGACTTGGGGGGGCATTTGTTTGAGGGTGCACAAGTTCTTAGTGACTAATTTTTGTGTATGCTTCAGTTGTAATTGAAGAGCTGAATATAAGATTAGAAGATATACCCAGAATTTCATCTAACTGTATTTTTTTGAGATGGAGTTTCACTCTTGTTGCCCAGGCTGGAGTTCAGTGGGCCGATCTTGGCTCACTGCAGCCTCCGCCTCCCAGGTTCAAGTGATTCTCCTTCCCCAGCTTCCCAAGTAGCTGGGATTACAGGTGCATACCACCACCATGCCCAGCCAATTTTGTATTTTTTTAATAGAGATGGGGTTTATCCATGTTGGCCAGGCTGGTCTTGAACTCCTGACCTCAGCACACCCAGAATTTTCTTTTTTTTTTTTTTGAGACGGAGTTTCGCTCTTGTTACCAGGCTGGAGTGCAATGGTGCGATCTCGGCTCACTGCAACCTCCGCCTCCTGGGTTCAAGCAATTCTCCTGCCTCAGCCTCCTGAGTCGCTGGGATTACAGGCACGCGCCACCATGCCCAGCTAATTTTTTGTATTTTTAGTAGAGACGGGGTTTCACCATGTTGACCAGGATGGTCTCGATCTCTTGACCTCGTGATCCACCCGCCTCAACCTCCCAAAGTGCTGGGATTACAGGCTTGAGCCACCGCGCCCGGCAACACACCCAGAATTTTCGATGGGCTCCCAGGGTGGGGCCATTGGTGCCCTCCAGTAGAGGAGAAGAGACGCAGGCCTCCCGGGGGTGTGGCGTTCTAGGATCTTGTCTTCCCTTACCGCAGAGCCAGTGGTTACTCCTCAGAGCATGCAGTCAGCATGGGCTGTATCGGGACCTGATTTTCACTTGCCGTCCTTGGGACCCGGGGGTGTTTGACAGTTGGGGAACATCCCAGTGTGAGCTAGTTCCATCCAGGGGGCTTGGAGGCTCCATGTGACTGTAGCACAGGAGCAGGCGGTTCCATCCTCTGGTCTGGATCAGGCTCTGCACATGGAGGCCCGTGGGCCAGATGACTGACAGGAGGGAGCTGGGTGGAGCCTCGGCCCGCCTGACGTCCAGCAGCGGAGGGCAGGGCGGCAGTGCCTCCGGCACGGCAGTCCCTTCGGAGGTCATCAGATGGTGCCCTCACCTGTGCTGGCAGCTTCCTAAACACGGGCACTGGGCATGGTGGCGAGTTTTTGTTATGAAGGCGATTTTGCTGTGGGGTTACTAGCCCCTTGAGTTCTTCTCTGACGCCCGCCCTGCTGCAGCTCAGCGAACTGCCACCATCCCAGGGGCGTGTGTTTCCTGGGGGGAGCGCCCTGGGTCCGTGGCTTTGTGGTCCATTCTGTGGACGTCCATGAGGCCTGGGTGTCAGTCCCGTCTGGGCAGTTCCTGCTGGGCTGGGTGCTGGTCTCCTGCTGGTCCGCCCCCAGCTGCACCACGTGGCCCGTGCCTTGCCCTCCTGTGCTTCTGCAGGTTTTGGCTACGGGCCTCCACCTCCACCACCGGATCAGTTTGCCCCTCCAGGGGTTCCTCCTCCACCGGCCACTCCCGGGGCAGCGCCTCTGGCCTTCCCTCCGCCCCCGTCTCAGGCCGCCCCGGATATGAGCAAGCCCCCGACAGCTCAGCCAGACTTCCCCTACGGTCAGTATGGTAAGTGGTCTCCTGCTGGCCCCGGGACCCCAGCCTGCCTTCTGCTTCTTCAGGCACGGCCTGCCTTCTGCTTCCTCCCCCTGCTGGCCTCCTCCCACCTTTACCTGGCAGGAAAGGATGGAGGGAGGGGAGTGGAGGTGCAGCGGTTGTTGGAGAGCGCTCGTGGCGTCTTGCCTCGGCAGAAGGGAGCGCGGGAGTGTGGGTCACAGCAGAGCGTTCGTCCACTCAGCAGGTGTTGCAGGGCCTGCGTGTGTGTGCGAAGCTGAGTGGTGACTGGGTCCAGGGAAGTGGGTCCCAGGAGGCTGTGATCACTGTCGCAAGGTCAAGGCTCTTGATGTGGGTCCCGGGTGCACTGATCCCTCGGTGTTTCCAGTTTCTGACGTCATCATTCTACTGCTGGGTTACAGACCCTGCTTGGGGTAGAGACCTGGGTCTGTAGCAGGCCGTGGCCTGGATGTGGGCTTTGCCTTGGACTTGATGGCTTTTGCGACTTGGGTGTCTGGAGGTTACCTGCAGGAGGTGCATGTGCTTCGGGGCTCGGAGCTTGGTGGGGGGTGGGGCTAGGAGCTTGATGGGGATGGGGCTCGGAGCTTGGTGGGGGGCAGGGCCAGGGGCTTGGTGGGGAACAGGGCCAGGATGGGTCAAGGTTTTGCATGTTGATAGTTCTTGACCTGCATTGAGCCTAGTGTCACAGCATCTTTGCTCAGGACCAATGCAGTGGCCTAAGTGGGTAGGGCTCCAACCACGGGCAGCTCCTCCGGCACCAGGGGATGCTCACAGGCAGGGTTTGAGAACATAGGGCGCCTGTCTCCAGGTGGCCATAGGCTTCTGGGCACATGCTTCCTTTAGGCCTGGTGGGTGCTGGGAGTGGGAGCTGTGTGTGGCCCAGGTGCCCGCCCGCCTTGCATGGCTCTGGTTCCCCTGCCCTCATGGCCAGGCCTCGGGCCCAGGTTGCTGCCTATGTGGGTCTTGACCTGCCACCAGGCCCCGAGTGTCTAAGGCTGGCAGGGGGGCATGAGGCGCCCGGTTGGGGCGTGGAGTGTGTGTCAGCCACTGCTCTCGGTGGCGGCTGCTTGGGTTGGTCACCCTGGTCTCGTCTCTTGCCAGGCCTGGGTTCCTATTCTCCAGACCCGCCGGGCTGCGGCCCACACTTTGTTTACACTCTTATGGTCAGGCTGAGCAGTGATGTGGCCTAGGTAGGTGCCGCCGCCTCTTCCAGGTTCCTCCCACCTGCCTGCACCGGGAAGTGGACGTGGCTTCCTCTGCCGCCCGGGCGGGGGTGGACGTTGGCGATGCCCTCTGGGGAGGGGCCCTTGCCAGTGCTAAGATGTTGGCTGGCTACAAGCCTTCACTGGGTCCAGGATCTCCCAGAGCCCACGCCCGCCTGTGCCCTGCGCACCTGACTGGGAACCTAGAGGGTGCGGGAGGGGCTTACTGAAGGTGTGTAGTCGGGTGGGGAATAGCCTGGCGCCTCTGTCCTTGTGAAGACACCACTGTCCACGCCCCTGAAGTTGGCTGTGCAGCTGGACCGGCTGCAGGGTGTGCTGGACCCTCAGCCATGGTGTCACTGGGGCAGTCAGGTTGGGCCCAGGACCCTTCCCTGACACGCGCCACCGACGGATGTGCCCTGGCAGGGGGACGGCGTGGGGTCTGGGTAGGCCCTACATCGCTGCAAGGGCCCGTTGGGGGTTTTCTGCAACTCTGAGAGCCCTGCACTCTTCCTGAGAGCCAGCTTTCTAGAAGCCCTGTCCATGATGGCACCTCGGGCCATCTGTATCTCCACCCACCCCCAGCCTTCTCCAGCCTGCCCCCGACCAACCCACGGTGTCTTCAGGATTGAATGGGGAAGCGGCAAGGCCATGTGGGCCACGGAGGGCTCTGGAAGCCGCTTTTTCCTGTGTGTGCCCTGTTCACATGGTTTTGAGGGAGAGAATATGATGCCTGGGGCTCCTCTCCCTGGCTTAGGTGCTGTCTCAGAAGGGCCCCCCCCCACCCTGTGGGGCCTGCAGTCTCCAGGTGGCTCAGCGGAACTGCGTCCAGGCAGCCTCGCTCGACGGCAGTGCCCAGTGCCCGGGGACCGCCCCGAGCTCACAGGCCTCTCTCCCCCAGCAGGTTACGGGCAGGACTTGAGTGGCTTTGGACAGGGCTTCTCGGACCCCAGCCAGCAGCCCCCCTCCTACGGGGGCCCCTCCGTGCCAGGGTCAGGGGGCCCCCCCGCCGGCGGCAGCGGCTTTGGACGAGGGCAGAACCACAACGTGCAAGGGTTCCACCCCTACCGACGCTAGCTGCGGCGGCGACGTCTGCACGGCCCAGACCTGGATTCCAAACTTGTGAACTCGTGACAATCACAAACGTGGCGGCAAAGTAGCGACTCAACCTTGGGGGGCGGGGGGAGGGCGAGAGGCTTTTGGAGCGGCTGTGGGTGTCGTCTGGACTGAAGTTTTTAAATATTTCTTTCTCTAACCCATCAGCACAATAAAAAAAAGTCACTGGTTCAACAACAGGGTTAAAAAAAAGTCTTCAGCTTTAATTCAAAACTTCAGGTTTCTTTTTCTTCCTTTTCTTTGGAAATTATTTTCCTGAGCCTTTTGTTTTACGGTATATTGTAAACTTTTATGTTAAAGAAAAAATATACATTTACAAATTGTGAGATTTTTAAGAGAAATTTTCTACGATGTATACTGGCTTATTTTTTAATTTAAAACAGGGTTTCCGTCGGCACTGGTGGAGGGGGTGCGTTTCTAGTCCCCTTGCTTTGGGGGTTGGGACTCCTTGGTCCAGAAACTCTGGGAGCTTCAAGAAGAAATCTACTGAGTGTGTTTCTGTTTTTTGTTTAATTCCTTGCTTTCGTCGACTGACCTGCTTGGTAGTGTCTGAGGTGCACTTTGGGGCTGTGCACAGCCAGCCGCGTGGACACTGGCGGTCTGGATCCCACGGCCGAGTAGGAGGCCATCTCCCCAGACACGTGCTTCAGGGTGTTTCCCATTGACCAGTTTGACCCTGGTTTGAATAAAAAGAAGTGCGTTTGGATTAGAAACCACTTTGTGTCTGTTTCTTCCCTCCTCGGTCTTGGCCTGGGTCCATCCCTCAGTGGGTGTTGGGATGCTGGGAATTTTAGGACGTGGCCACCGCCAGTTTTCTCTGGGGATGGGGGCTCCAGGCTTTTCCCATCCCATGACCTTTATTAAACATCTTGTGCCATGGAAGGTGACATGTCCCCAGGTTCTGGGGATTAGGACAGGGGCATCTTTTGGAAGCAATACTCTGTCACTCTGGCAGGGAAAGCAAGACTTAAAAACATAAAAAAGGGCCAGGCGCAGTGGCTCAGCCTGTAATCCGAGCCCTTTGGGAGGCCGAGGCAGGCAGATCCCCTGAGGTCTGGAGTTTGAGACCAGCCTGACCAACGTGGTGAAACCCCATCTCTACTAAAAACACAAAATTAGTGGGGCGTGGTGGCACACGCCTGTAATCCCAGCTCCTCGGGAGGCTGAGGCGGGAGAATTGCTTGAACCCGGGCGGTGGAGGTTGCAATGATCCGAGATCACGCCACTGCACTCCAGCCTGGGCCACAGAGGGAGGCTCTGTCTCTAAATAAATAAATAGGTCCGCCAAGTTTCAGATTGGAAGCCCACAGCGTTCCAAGTGTGAGATCCTGCAGATAACAGCTAGAACCCCTTGCCCCCAGTTCATGTTTTGGGGGCAGGGAAGGTCTGGCTTAGCTTAGAGAGAGCCAAGAAAAGGAGTACCCCCCCCACACACCTGTGCAGTGCAGTTTTCTCACTGAGACAGTACCCCCCAATGCCTCCGCCCGGGAAGCCAGCCACGTTCCCTGCTCTCAGAGCTTTCTCCCGTACCCTCAGGAGCTGGCGCCCCCAGCTCACAGGAGGGCCAGGGCCAGGCGGGAGCAGCCTTCTCCACTGGTGTTGCGTGTCAGCCCCTCCAGTTTGATTAGCTGCCCCAGCTAAGGAGTAGCACACACAGAATCGGCCAGCCAGCCAGGACGGTGTCTGCTGCAGGAAAATGGGCAACTTGGGTGGGCCCCTACACACAGGTGCTGTGTTCCTCAGGGAGAGTGAGTGGCAGCCCCTCCTGGAACACGGTGTCATTGGCTTCCCTTGGAACTGTGGGGAAGGCTGGGGAGAGCTGAGCTCCCTGGATAGCGCCACAGCAAAGCTTGGGTTCCCAGAGGTTTTGGGGGTTTGTTTGTTAGGAGGGAGTTTTGCTCTTGTTGCCCAGGCTGGAGTGTAATACCACGATCTCAGCTCATTGCAACCTCCACCTCCCAGGCTCAAGCGATTCTCCTGTCTCAGCCTCCTGAGAAGCTGGGATTACAGGCCGGTGCTGCCACACCCGGCTAATTTTTTTGTATTTTTAGTATAGACAGGGTTTCCACACGTTGGCCAGGCTGTTCTCAAACTCCTGACCTCAGGTGATCCACCCACCTCGGCCTCCCAAAGTGCTGGGATTTCAGGTGTGAACCACCATGTCCAGCTGTTTTTTTTTTTGTTGCTGTTCACTTTTTTGAGAAGGAGTCTTGCTGTGTCGCCCAGGCTGGAGTGCAATGGTGCGATCTTGGCTCACTGCAACCTCTGGCCCCCACCCCCACCCGGGGTTCAAGCGATTCTCCTGCCTCAGTCTCCTGAGTAGCTGGGATTACAGGTGAGCCACCACACCTGGCTAATTTTTGTATTTTTAGTAGAGATGGAGTTTCACCATGTCAGCCAGGATGGTCTTGATCTCTTGACCTCATGATCCACCCATCTTGGCCTCCCGAAGTACTGGGATTACAGGCGTGAGCCACCACGCCCGGCCAATTTTTTGTAATTTTAGTAGAGATGGAGTTTCACCATGTTGGCTAGATATGCCAGGTGATATGCCCGCCTCAGCCTACCGAAGTGTTAGGATTACAGGCGTGAGCCTCTGCGCCCAGCTGGGTGCCACATTATTGTAGCAATAGTCACCTTCAATTTTATCCTTAATTCCAGTAAGATACAGGCTGGGCGCAGTGGCTCACGCCTGTAATCCCAGCACTTTGGGAGGCCAAAGTGGGTGAATCACCTGAGGTCGGGAGTTTGAGACCAGCCTGGGCAACATGATGAAACCCTGTCTCCACTAAAAATACAAAATGAGCTGGGTGTGGTGGTGGGCTCCGGTAATCCCAGCTATTTGGGAAGCTGAGGTATAAGAATCGCTTGAACCTTGGAGGCGGAGGTTGCAGTGAGCCAAGATTGTGCCATTGCACTCCATCCTGGACAACAAGAGCAAAACTCCGTCTCAAAAAAAAAAAAAAAGCAACATTTTTATGTAGTTCTAGTTTCTCCTCCTCTTCCTTTTTGAGCTATCCTTATTCATGCTACATTTACATATCTTACAAACCCAGTGGTGTTCCTATCTTTATTTATTTTTATTTTTATTTTTATTTATTTATTTATTTATTTTTTTGAGACGGAGTTTCACTCTTGTTACCCAGGCTGGAGTGCAATGGCGCGATCTCGGCTCACCGCAACCTCCGTCTCCCGGGTTCAGGCAATTCTCCTGCCTCAGCCTCCTGAGTAGCTGGGATTACAGGCACGCGCCACCATGCCCAGCTGAATTTTTTTTTTGTATTTTTAGTAGAGACGGGGTTTCACCTTGTTGACCAGGATGGTCTCGATCTCTTGACCTCGTGATCCACCCGCCTCGGCCTCCCAAAGTGCTGGGATTACAGGCTTGAGCCACCGCGCCCGGCCTTTTTTTTTTTTTTTTTTTGTATCTAATGTTGGAAAAGTATTTATTTTAACATAGGAATACATTGCAAGTTCCTATCTTTATTTTTGAGCCAAGGTCTTGCTCTTGTCGCCCAGGCTCGAGTGCCGTTGGCGTTATCATGGCTCCCTGCAGCCTCGACCTCCTGGGCTCAAGGCTCAGAGTAGCTGGGACCATGAGCACGCCACCATGTCGGCTACCTTTTGCATTTTTTGTTCTGTTATGTCCGTGTGTACACAAGTTTTTGTATTTTTTTTTTGTAGCGAGGCAGTCTCTCTGCCCTTACTAACTTTCTATACAAAATTTTTTGTTAAAGCCTGAATGGTTCTTTTCATCGTGGCCCTGTCCTTGCTCCGGTATCTGTAATAATCTCTTGTCTTCCTCCCACACTGGGACCTAAACCCCCAAACCGCACCCACGAGCCAACAGTAGGCGCTCCATGAATACTCAAGGGGGGTGTCACCCTGTAGATAGCGGAGCACGAACCCGAGTCCCACTCGGTGGAGGAAGCGGCTCTGCAGAGCTCAGTCCCTTTAGTCCCCGCAGGCTGTGTGTTGCCCTCCAGCCGGCAGAGGGCGCGCGTTCGCCGCCGGGAAAGCGGAAGCGCGTGTGCGCTCACGGCCGAGGGGGCGGGACACGCTGGCGGTCTCGCGATAACTGCGCAGGCGCGGACAAGAACGGTCTTTTCCCGGGATCCGGCAAGATGGTGAGTGTTGCGATTTGGCGCGTCTACCCCGAAACTATCCGGCTCCATCCGACCTCTGACTGTCCGCGGGAGCCGCAGAACGGCCGCGCGGCCACGGTGGCCTGCTCTGGACCTTGGAGGCGGCCAGAAGTTGGGGTGTGGGGCGGGCCCGGTGGGTGTCGGGACGATGCGGGGCGGGGAAGGCCTGTCCGGGTTCCCGTAACCCGGAGCCGCGCGTGACCCCGGGGGAGGGGTCGAGGCGGTGTGTCCCCGTCGGGTTTCTGTGCGCGGGGTCCTCGTGCCCGGTGGCCCCGGGTGGTGGGTGTCGGGATCCCGCTGACGCCCGACCCGCGCCCGCGCAGGCAGAGGTGGAGCAGAAGAAGAAGCGGACCTTCCGCAAGTTCACCTACCGCGGCGTGGACCTGGACCAGCTGCTGGACATGTCCTAGTAAGGCCGGCCGGCGGGGCCGGGGCGGGGGTCGCGGGCGGGGGTCGGACCGGGGTCCCAGCGCCTCCGCCGCGGTGCGCGGGCACAGCCTCCCCCCGGCGAAGGACTGAGCCTGGTTGTGCGCCCGGAAAACTGTCGAGGGTTTTGCTTATTTCCACCTGCCCCGCTTGGTTACCTTCTCCGCGGATTAGGTGGAGCGCGCAGCCACCGGCTGTAGCCCACGTGTGTGAGAATAACGGGCAGCGTTAGAGTCCGTGGATTCTAAGGCGGTGGCAGGCGCTGGCTCCTTTTCAAGCAGGGTAGGAGGAAGCACCTGGCATGCAATTTTATTTAATTTTATTTATTTATTTTTTCTTTGGGGGGGACGGAGTCTCCCTATTGTTACCCAGGCTGGAGTGCAATGGCGCGATCTCGGCTCACCGCAACCTCCGCCTCCTGGGTTCAGGCAATTCTCCTGCCTCAGCCTCCTCTGAGTAGCTGGGACTACAGGCACGCGCCACCATGCCCAGCTAATGTTTTGTAGTTTTAGTAGAGACGAGGTTTCACCGTGTTGACCAGGATGGTCTCGATCTCTTGACCTCGTGATCCACCCGCCTCGGCCTCCCAAAGTGCTGGGATTACAGGCTTGAGCCACCGCACCTGGCCGGCAATTTTATTTTTTTATTGTCTTTTCTGAGATGGAGTCTCACTCTGTCGCGCAGGCTGGAGTGCCATGGCGCGACCTCGGCGCACTGCAACCTCCGCCTCCCGGGTCCAAACGATTCTCCTGCCTCAGCCTCCCGAGTCGCTGGGATTACAGGCGCGCGGTACCACACCCGGCTATTTTTTTGTATTTTTAGTAGAGACGGGGTTTCGCCGTGTCGGCCAGCTGGTCTCGATCTGTTGACCTCGTGATCCACCCGCCTCAACTTCTCAAAGCGCCGGGATTCCAGGCGGGAGCCGCTGCACCCTCGCTGCCTTCCCATGCGTTTTTTAGGGGCCTTTGGCCGGAGCCGTGCGTTACAGCACCTTGTCTGAGGCTGTAGCTTCCGGGCCGCTTGTTCCTTCTGAATCGCTGCAGTCACGGTGGCTCTTGCATCGGAGGGGCGTGTCGCACATACTGGCGGGGGTGCCAGAGGGTCTTGGCGAGTTGCTTTTGGTCACTACCATGGTCAGTGACAAATCCAGTGCCGCCATGTCCCTGGGGACAGCGAGGCCTTCGTTCACGGTCCCCCGGAGCGGGCGGGGTCGCTGACACCTATGTGCCTGGTGCGCCCTCAGCGAGCAGCTGATGCAGCTGTACAGCGCGCGCCAGCGGCGGCGGCTGAACCGGGGCCTTCGGCGGAAGCAGCACTCTCTGCTGAAGCGCCTGCGCAAGGCCAAGAAGGAGGCGCCGCCCATGGAGAAGCCGGAGGTGGTGAAGACGCACCTGCGGGACATGATCATCCTGCCAGAGATGGTGGGCAGCATGGTGGGCGTCTACAACGGCAAGACTTTCAACCAGGTGGAGATCAAGGTGTGTGGGCCGTCCCTGCGGGCTGGGCCGCCGCGGGGGTGGGGACATAAGGTGCCTGCGGCCGTTTCTGCGGGCTGGGCCGGGCCAGGCCGGGAAGGTCGCCTGACGCCCAGCTCTCCTCTTCGCCTCCCGCAGCCTGAGATGATCGGCCACTACCTGGGCGAGTTCTCCATCACCTACAAGCCCGTGAAGCACGGCCGGCCGGGCATCGGCGCCACTCACTCCTCCCGCTTCATCCCCCTCAAGTAGTGGTTCTGCTAATAAAGGCGCACAGAACTGCCGGCCTGCGCGCCTGTCCTGCCGCCGCACAGATCTCCCGGTCTGCGCGCCTGTCCTTCCGCCGCACAGATCTCCCGGCCTGCGCGTCTGTCCTTCCGCCGCACAGATGTCCCGGCCTGCGCGCCTGTCCTTCCGCGTCTGGGCTCCGGGAGGGGCCCGGGGCTGGTTCCCGTTCTTGCTGTGAGGAGGTTCAGGTTGGACATTCAGGGCTGTGTGTGAGTGCTGGGTGGGTGGCCTCTTGGTGTCTGAGGCTGACGGCTGTGCGCCCAAGCCCAGGTGTAGCCCTGTCCCTTCGGCCCTCAGTGTTCTTTGCCTCGGGGCAGCTGGCTGGCCTCATGCTGTCTTTTGGGAGCCGCATGCAGAGGGGGCCCCTCCTGGGCTCAGTGCAGGCCCTCCGCAGGCCCCCACCTCCCCTAGGTTCTCCCTTCTGGCCTCTCATCTCTTGTTGGGGGAGGGTTCCCTCAGGAAGCAAAGCAGAAGCAGGAACTTTAGGGCGACCTGAGCCTGTCCCATCATCAGCCCGCCCAGCTCCTCACAAGCTCCTGACTCTACTGACGCCATCCTGCCGGCTCTGCCCTCCCAGCAGGCTCCATGGCTGCCGCCAGCTTTGTCCTTCCAGCCTGGGGTTTCATGTCCCAGGACAGAGCAGCATGTCTCGAGGCTGCGGCTGCACCTGCACCATCCATGGCCTGACCAGACCTGTCCCCTTCACACAGGATACCTGAAAGAGCAGGACAAGGTGGCTGCCGTGTGTCTGGGCTTGGGGTGCCCTCCAGCCCTTTGTGGCCTCCCTAATGGCCGACCGGGGGTGGCAGAACATGGCAAGAACTAACTTGGGTTCAATGCTGGAGTCGACCTCAGCGGAGGCGGGAGGTGGCAACTGCCCACTAAGCGTCTAGCAGGCCAGTGGGCGATGGGGGCCTCCCCTTGGGCAGTGGATGGGGAGGGTGAGAGCTCAGCCAGGCAGGTGGGTTCAGGGCAGATGTGAGGAGCCCCCCTCAGTTCAACCTCAAACGCCCCACAACAACCTCCTGTAGGCCCTGCTCTGTAATGTCTTCCACCTTTTTGTATTTATGGTGATGTGATCACGGCTCACTGCAGCCCCAACATCATGGGTTCCAGTGATCTTCCCACGGCCTCCCAGTGCGGCGATCCTGGGCGTGAGACCCTGCACTTGGTTCTGTCCTTAAATTTAAACATAAGCTGCAGCTGGGCATGGTGCCTCACGTTAACCTGTAAGCACTTTGGGAGGCAGAGGTGGGCAGATCACCTGAGGTAAGGATTTCAAGACAAGCCTGGCCAACACGCTGAGACCCCATCTGTACTTTTAAAGACAAAAAAATTAGCCTAGCTGGGCATGGTTACGTGCGCCTATGATTCCAGCTATTTGAGAGGCTGAGGCGGGAGAGTCACTTGAACCCAGGAGGCAGAGATGACACTCTAGCCTGGGTGACAAGAGTGAGACTCTTGTCTCAGAAAAACAAAAAGGAGCAGGTGTGGTGGATCACCTGAGGTCAGGAGTTAGCGCAGACCAGCCTGACCAACATGATGCAACCCCGTCTTTAAAAAAGTTAGATACAGGGCCGGGCGCGGTGGCTCACGCCTGTAATCCCAGCACTTTGGGAGGCCGAGGCGGGTGGATCACGAGGTCAAGAGATCGAGACCATCCTGGTCAACATGGTGAAACCCCGTCTCTACTAAAAATACAAAAACATTAGCTGGGCATGGTGGTGCGTGCCTGTAATCCTAGCTACTCAGGAGGCTGGGACAGGAGAATTGCCTGAACCCAGGAGGCGGAGGTTGCGGTGAGCTGAGATCGTGCCATTGCACTCCAGCCTGGGTAACAAAAGTGAAACTCCATCCAAAAAAAAAAAAAGAGATACAGTATGCTGATGTTGTTACCTCTCAATTTGGAATCAAGTTACATCACATAGAAAGTGTGGGTCGCTGTTTTGATCTGATTTGGGAAAGAGGTGGGTGGAACAGCTCATAAGCTTGGGTCCACTGCAGCTGGAGACCCTCACCCCGCATAGAGTTCGGGGGGTACTGGGAGCACCTGTAACCTACCTGGCTGGTGCAGATGGGCCCGCCACTGGGGCACTGCGCTGTGCCTGGCCGTGGCTCTCAAGCCCTACCCTGCACTGCACGCGTTGGCGGGCCCCGCCAGGAAGTACGGAGGCTGGGGAGGCCACTCGAGGGCCTGGACCTTGCGGGGTAGTCAGAAGTGGAGGCGAGTCTTGCTGGCAGCATCTGAGAGATACATGGAATATTTGAAAATTCACCTGAGGGCTGCCCTGAACCCACCTGGGCTTCAAACGAACCCTCAAGACTTTGGAGGGTGGTTTATCCGCTTGGTGCAGCCTTAGGCAGGGCAGTGGAAAAGCCCCTCAGGATTAGGACTGTCCACAGGGCTCTGGGCAGCCTGGCCGGGTTCACTTCAGCATCACAGGCCCACCCCAGGTCCAGCTTCAGGAGATGGAGGGAACGCACGTGCAGGCAGGGTTCATTGTAGTCTCAGTTGTCAGCATTTGGAATTGTTTTTGTTTTTTGAGACCGGGTGTCACTGTGTCTCCCAGGCTGGAGTGCAGTGGCACCATCTCAGCTCACTACAACCTCCGCCTCCCAGGTTAAAGTGATTCTTGTGCCGCAGCCTCCCCAGTAGTTGGGATTACAGGCATCTGCCACCACACCTGGCTAACTTCTGCATTTTTAGTAGAGACAGGATTTCACCGTGTTGGTCAGGCAGGTCTTGAACTTCGAATCTCAGATGGTCCGCCCACCTCGGCCTTCCAAAGTGCTGGGGTTACAGGCCTGAGCCTCTGTGCCTGGCCTAGAATTATTAAAAATGAAATTATTGAGGTGTTAGGAACAGGTGTTTAAACCTCATATAAAGGAATGGATGCCATGCTCAAACGCAGCTTTATCTGAGCATTGGAAGTCAAACGTGGTAGTGGTGCACCGGGGTGCCCAGTCTTCTCGAGGCCCCATTACCAGGCTGATCTGCAGAGCAAATGACATGTAGGTGAGATGTTTGGGGCCACGCCCGTCACCATCCAGAGGCAGCCAGCTGGCAACAAGCCCCAGGCCCCTCCCTGAAGAAAGCAGAGTGGGACCCGGTTCAGGGCTTCATCTTGCTTTTGCAGAGCTTACGGGCACCCAGCTGTGTGCCCATTCATACCTATATTCTGAGAATTCACTGGCCCTTTAAGTTTCCTGTCCATAAATGCCCTCCCTGCACATGGCATGGCCTGGCCAGCACGTGTCTGCTCGGTCTTCAGGGGCAAGGTGGCTGCTGATGGCTACTTCCCCTTGGTTTTCTGCAGCTGGGATCAGGGAAAATAGATTTTCGTATTTAAAGCAAAAAGATACTCTGCCATCTCAGACACAGGCACACCTTGGCAGCCAGGTGGTGCTCTAGGTCCACGGCATTTGGGGGGCATCCAGGAGTTGGGGTGGGAGCCTCCAACTGGCACTGGGGTGCCACTGCTGGGCACCGCTTCTAACACAAGGCCCAGGCTCTGTCCTTAGGTTTCTCTGACCACATCTACGCTTTTTGTGTGTGTCTTTGAGACAGTCTTGCTCTGTGGCCCAGGCTGGAGTGCAATGGCTCGATCTGGGCTCACTGCAATCTGCCTTCTGGGTTCAAGCGATTCTCCTGCCTCAGTCTCCCTAGTATTGGGGACTACAGGCGCGTGCCAAGATGACGCCTAATTTTTTGTAATTTTAGCAGAGATGGGGTTTCACCATGTTGACCAGGCTGGTCTTGAACTCCCGACCGCCAATGATCTACCCGTCTCGGCCTCCTGGGATTACAGGCCTGCACGCTTCTGTTTCTATCCTCTGATCCCACACCCCGCCCCAGAACCTGTGTGGCCTCTCCCAGACCTGCCAGGTTCCATACATAACGTCCCAGGCAGCCCCGTCCTCATTGGGCACCGGTCTGGCCCTGGCACTGCCGGTCAGCTGCCTTCAGTCCCTGTCCTGGTTCCCTCCGCCTGGCACATGCCCGCGGCGTCCCGCCTGGATGGCACTTTACAGTGGACACGGCGCCCTCCCTTGACTTCTCAAGCAGGAGCCCTGCGTGACCCCGAAACCTGTAGGCTCCGCCACGTTCCTGCCGGCAGCGTGGCTCCCTCCCAGCTTTCCGGGTTTCAGCTGAGGCACCTGCTGGAGGCGGCCTGCCCCGCCGCCCCCCTAAAGCAGCGCCCCTTTCTCCTTCTGCCGCTCGATCTTTGGTTTCCCGGGACTTAGCACGATTCACAACACGCCTCAGCCCCGTTGCAACCTGGCTGGGCCCCATCTTCCGACTCTGGACCCGCGCAGCCGCCAGTGGGCGCCCGTGAGCCTGGAGTCGGGCGCGGCCCTGCTCTGCCCACAGCCCACCTTCAGCAGAGCTCCCACCTTCCGCAGGGCCTCCGGGACCCTCCCTCCCTGCCCTCTCCCCCACGCCACCCAGGGCTGTTCGGCCTCCCCAGCAGCTCCCTACGCCATGCCCGCCCCGCTGGCTTCTCTCCCCAGCCCGCTGCACTCCTCGTTCATGTTAGCTTCCCAAGGGCAGAGGTTTTGACTTTTTGTTCATTGCAGGGATCCCAGCACACAGCAGGTGCTTAATAAATGCTTGTTAAATGAATGTCTGCGTGCCGTGTCGCCCCCTTACGGCGGCCCCCCTTCGCCCAGCTCCGCTCTCGGCAAGCGATGTTTGCGCAGGTGATTGCTGAATGACTAATGAACTTCAGCGCGCCAGGCCGTGCTGATTCGGGGGTGGTCACGAGCTTCCGCAGGTCACGAGTGTCCGTGGGCAGCAGACCACAGTCGCAGGGCGCCGCCGCCTCTGTCCCTCCGCGACCCCCATTCCCCGTGGGACCTCTCGTGCCCCGCCCCGACCGAGCCTCCGCCCGTCTCCTTCCGTCGCATTCGAACTCCCCAGCGCGGTCGGACCCGTTCCCTCGGGCCGCTCGGCCCATGCAAGTCCCCTCCCCTCTCTCCCGTTCCTGGACCTTCCGCAGCCTCGGTCCCGCGA